CCGCAAACGAACACTGCTAACTGCTGGAGGAGCACATCAGTGAAGTCACTGATTTGACCAAAAAGGCAGAAGGGGAACAATAGCAAAAGATGGGAGACAGCTCCTATCATTTAAAGCAAGACAATCAACAAAAACAACTTCTAGGCATTTTCAGATTGACAGATTATCGTCACATAGGGCTAACACGTTACATTAGTGCAGAAACAAATGGTGCATGATTGTTCTTTTTTTTTTTAAAGCTGGTACAATCGTCCAGCTCTTTGACATGTGGTACATAAATAGAAAAGGCGACACACTGATTATATTCCTTCTTGTGAAAACAGCAGGAATAGGAAAAGGCAAAATACTGGTTAGTCATAAAAAACAGGTTTGGTCTCTCTGAGCCATTTCATGGTGTAATAGAGACTTAAGGTGCCTAATCGAGTGGAAAAGTGCAAACCTTTAAAAATGAGATTAAGTGCTTTAGGTTAGTTTTTTCAGTGCAGAAAGGGTTCAGATTCTAATTTCAAATACTGATAAGGACACAATGATTTCCACATATAGTATCAGTGGTTTAGTTCTGCTTAGAATCACAAAGGGACGATTGTTTGGTTCTCTTCAGATCCATTATGGATTTACAGTTAGATCCACATTTATGCTTTACAGTTAGGTTTCCAACAGCTCTCTGCATGGGAGGTAACGCCTCCGCCTTTGGCACAGCAGATTTACTGTCTGAATCGCTTTTTTAAAAAAAGGGTTAAAACAGCACAGGTCTTTTTTTTTTATATCAAAAGATGAAAAAAGATTTTAAAAACATTATCAGCAGTTCAACTCACACACATTCTGTTGCATCTAGGCCTTCAAATTTACAGATGTCCAGTTAAAAACGTCTGTTATTAGAGAAGCAGTAAGGCAGTGTAAAGGGAAAACATTCTGTTTCATCTAAAAGCATCGAAGCGTCGGCATTCATGCAGCATCAGGCTAACGGATTTATTGCCAAGTTAAGCCTCAGACTAAAATGACGAGCACAAACAAAACGTTCTTTTAAATAAATTCCAGATGCTAAAACATATATCAAAAATTAAATTCACATTTAGATTCATGGTTTTTGTTATCATGGTGCTAAGCAGTCATATATAAACTTAGCTTCATTTTCTAGCACCTTTTTTTTTTAAACAGGAACTTGCAACTCAGACTGAACTTCAAACCTAATAAGAACTTTATCAGTCTGTGATCAGCCTTCAGATAAATAATATGGTTGTTTTAGAAATCCTCATTCTTTAAAGCTGAAAGTTGAAAGCATATTGGATGTTAAATCTGGATATTTAAAATAAAATCCACTTTTTCAATTATTCCAATGATGTTTGAAGGATTTACTGGGGGAGTTTTTCATTCTAAACTCAAACTTATTTTGCAACAGCTGCCCTATGACCTCATCAAATTTTGTTCTCGTACCAAACCTTTTCTTAGCCGATTAAGCTAAAGCTAATCATTTGTTGATTCTTTTCATGTGCACTTGATTCAAGGGATTTTGAGAAACAGTAAAAAGGGTAATTGTTCATGCACATTAGAGGTGAACAATACAAGCATAAAAGAAAACTTAAATTAGTTAATTGACCATTATTGACTGAACTCAGGTCAATTATCAGGTCAAAGTTCAACTTTTAGTCTTCGGAAAGAGACAAACTTTTCTTGACGCTACGTGATGGCTCCCAAACCTCACTGTCATCCGTTTCGTCGCCGTCGTCCTCCTCCTCGTCTTCATCATCCTCTTCGTCTCCAGCTCCAGGGTCTGCCTGGTCCTCAGCGTTCACCGATCTCTCTCCTGGCATCTCTGCTTCGTCTTCCGGCGCAGCTTTGTCCCCATCTGGTCCCCCGGCAGACGCCTCCAGGAAGGGGTCTAACCCCAAATCCAAGCGTCGTTGAACTTCAGCAAACCACTCCCTCACCTTTCCACAGAGAGAGTCAGCTTCAAATACCAAACAGGACACAAATAGAGTCACATGCATAAAAGCATTCTCTAATTCGGACCAGATTGACTGCATTACTTACTGCCAACACAAGATGGCAGTACAGCATATAAACCGTCAGCTCCTATAAAATAACTGCTACATTTTAATACACTGCTAAAATGTTTGCTGCAACTCAAATATAGAGGCTATTATTCTGGAAGCAAGAACCGCTACAGAATAATGAGCTGGAAAATCCTATGTATTGGGAGTTTATACATTTCTGATATGGCAGTTTCTAGTGTTTAAAGTGAAGCTGTATTAAAGGAATAGTACACCCAAAACATGATTAGCCTTCCTTTTCTACTCACCCCCATGCTGAACAACACTCTGGAGTACTTTTTTGATATCTCAAATGCATCTGGAGATCTGGGAGGTTTCTTGCTGTCTGCTGACATTCAAATAATGGAGGTCTATGGTACCTGAGACAGAAAGGTCCATAAAAGTCCACAAAAAACGTGTCAATATTCCTCCATACTGCTCGTCCAATGTATTCCAAGTGTCCTGAGTGGGTAGCATCCAGAATTTACTCAAAACGAAGTCATTTAGAATGTTTTTAGAGCATAAACAGTAGTGTATAGGATTTCCTAAAAGCGCGTTCACGAGTCTACGGAAACCGCGGCAGACCAAACCAGATGAAAGTGCGCATTCAGCGTCTGCTCTGCCAATAATGCAAGCGTAGAAGAAGAAATGTACTGTTTACCTGTGCAAAGAAAGAAACAACGAAAGAAAAATGTCTGAGAACTTCAGTGTTGAGGAAGAGCATGAGTTCTTTGCCGAGCTAAATGCGCACTTTCGTCTGGTTTGGTCTGCCGCGGTTTCCGTAGACTCGTGAACGCGCTTTTAGGAAATCCTATACACTACTGTTTATGCTCTAAAAACATTCTAAATGACTTCGTTTCGAGTAAATTCTGGATGCTACCCACTCAGGACACTTGGAATACATTGGACGAGCAGCATGGAGGAATATTGACACGTTTTTTGTGGACTTTTATGGAACTTTCTGTCTCGGGCACCATAGACCTCCATTATTTGAATGCCAGCAGACAGCAAGAAACCTCCCAGATCTCCAGATGCATTTGAGATATCAAAAAAGTACTCCAGAGTGTTGCTCAGGATGGGGGTGAGTAGAAAATGAAGGCTAATCATGTTTTGGGTGTATTATTCCTTTAAGCTGTTGTGCATTATAGTTGCCCCTAGCACAAATATGTTTAAATGAAATTAGTTTGTAGAGAACTGAGGAAGATCCGAAGCAGCTAAAAACTGTAAAAGTTAATATTATAGAGAAACACAGCTCCACATATACATCTGTTCTTTTGCAGGAGAAAATGTAGTTTGTTGCTGTTTTTTATTTAACCAAACATCCATTTAAAATGCTAAATAATCAGCTGAAACTCTGAAAAGCAAAACTTATTTAACAAAGTATGTCATATGTGGATTTGTGCAGTAAAAACCTTTTTTTTATTTTTATTTTTTTAAGATTTTTCCAGTATCTGATCCAGACTGCAGAGACCCATGGAGAAATCTAGAAGAAAACCCAAATTTCATAAACTACAATTAGATACAGATGGATCACTGTCTGCCTTCACAATATTTGCTCGCTTCCTTCTGCATCACAAAATAGCTTCAAACACAATCAGTTGACTTTAAATTATATGGAATAATAAATAACTTTGCTAAATCTTTCCACTCTTCGCATTTTCATGTAGTGAGACCTATTTTATTGGCCAATATAGCTGAATGTTTAATGGATATAAAAATAATTATATATCTATAAAATAAATTTAAGTATTGAGTTTAGTTGTTTTTAGATGGCAAGTATGTGTATTAATACGTTATTTCAGGGAGAGTGTGAAAATTGTGCATTAGGATGTAACAAGTCTGCTTATCTGATGTGTAGATGGCTGCAGAAAATAGCCAACATTAAGTAGAAAGAACATTTCTTTCTACACATAGGATACTGCAGCAAATGTGATTTGATCTCTAGCTATATATGAATAACATTTTTAGTTCCTTTTCTCTTCAGATAAAGGTTTTAATTACTTAGTTATAAGCCTCCAAAATTCTATGAACGCCTCTGAGAAACACAGGCTGTTGATGTCAATGGCCTCACATGGGGCTGCTGAAGGAGAACAGAAGTGTTAGACTTCCACTGGTGGCACAGAAAATTCAAAGCGTGTTTTCCAGACAGAGAGAGTAGGGGGAGATGGCAGACATCTTAATCGAGTCATAAACACTTGAAGAGGATTTATTAAGGCTCAAATTTTTTGTTTTTGCTGCTTTAATGTTGTAGAAAGTTCAATCATCAAACTAGTTGTCTACTGATTCAGATTGTATATGTTTTTAGTTTCTGGATCTCTTCTGTTTGATTATTAAATCAACAGAACCCACCTGCTCGTAGCTCATGTTGGTCCTGGAGACCAGCTCATCCAAATCCTGCTCACTGAGGAAGTGGTGCTTCAGGTAGTACTCCTTTAGGATTTCCCGTCCAGTCTTGAATTTCTTTGACGGAGGGGATCTTTTGACATCTGCGCTGGAAGAAGAGGAGGACCTCTTTGGCTGCTTCCTGATCTTAGAACGCCCCCAGCCACGATTTCGACCGCGTCTCTTCCGACCCGCGCCGCCTCCTGTTTTGCTGCCGACTCCATCGATTGGTCCCTCCACGTTGCCACTTTGATACTGAAAGAACCATTTCAGGTTTCCGTTTTTCCAGGAGTAGCGAGAATCCCCAAACCAGCTGACGATGTATTGGCGAGGAAGGCCGCTCTCCTCCGCCAGCTGATCATACTCCTCCGGCGTGGGCCACTGCGTCCGCACAAAGGCACTTTTTAGAATGTGAAGCTGCTCTGGAGTCTTTTTACTTTTTTCTTTTACGTCTTTCTTGCTGCTGCCGGACAGCTGCTTACTGCGAGCGCCAGGAGGAGTCTGACTCCCCTTCCGAGAGGAGGAGGTGGATGGAGGAGAGGTGCTGGAACCTGCTACTTCTCCTTCCTCTGGCTTTAAGTCATCCGTCTCATTTTTCCCTCCTTCAGAGGAGTCTGGGGAGGCTGCTGGGACTTTCCGCCTCTCAGTGAACCAGGCATCAATCTCCCTTCGAGTCAGTTTTGTTTCCGTCCTCAGACGGCTCAGTTCTTCGTCTGATGGCGTGCTGCTCTTCTCAAAGCTCTCCTCCAGCACCACCAGCTGCTCAGGAGTCTTCTCCTTAAACTTCTGTGGAGTGAAGTCTGGGAAAGGATTCCAGGTTTTGACTCTGGCCTCCTTCTCTTTTTCCTTCTCCTTCATAGGGGAAGTATTGGGAGGATGCGGAGGGGACGTGGGGGTCTCGTCACTGGAGTCGATAACGATGGGGGTGTTTGTAGCGCTGCTGGAGCTGCTCCCCCCTCGCCCCCCACCGTCATGGAAAACGATTACATGGCTGTTCTTGGAGTTGCGCTGGTTGTAGCGGGTGTCGCTGAACCACTTCTTGATCTCGCCCTTTGTCAGATTGGTGAGTTTCATCAGCCGGGCGATCTCTGCGTCAGAGGCAAAGTGGTTCTTCAGGTAGCTGGCTTTCAGCTCTGCCAGCTGCTCTTTGGACTTCTTGGGTCGCAGACTGAAAGAGTCAGCGCTGAGGGCCGAGTTCTCCTTGGAGACGGGAGAGGAGAGGGTTAGCCACTAACATGCTGCTCCTATGGAGCCAAAATACATTATAATGTAACAAACAGTAAATCACCACAATTCTGCAGCATCTTAATTTGTATTATTAGCACAAGGTAAGGAACTACTGTGTATTAGTAAAGGAGACTGGAAATCCTAAATTTGCAACTGAACAACAAGCACATCAGTAAGGTGTCCCAACCTGTGGAGACAGAGAGGGAGGCTGGACTGTGGTAGCCCGTTTTAGCTCACTGTTTGTCGGCGTGGACTGACAGGAAACTCGGCTGGAGCTCTGAGACTGACTGGGCAAACCCGCCACAGTCAGTGTGATCGGACTAGTCACTGGAAGATTCCCACCTGGACCAACCTACAAACAAAAAATACAAAAACTAAGGTGTTATTGGCTTTCATTAAGATTCTTTCAATGGCAGATTTACTTCTCCTTCTCTTCAAGTCTACAAATAATGAGCCAAGCCAGAGACCAAACCCAGTAAAAAGAAGATCATCCTGCTTACTGACAACAGAAATCTGTGCATGCTTCGTCACTTAAACACAAACAAATATTGTATTTCTATGGGATTTAATGTCATAAGTGAACTAAAAGTCTATCCATATTCTGAAAGGAAGGAAATGAAGCATTTTTGTCTTTTTTTTTTAAAAATAAAAAAGTGCGGCATGCATTTAGACAACTTTTATTGTCATTTTGTGTACACAGAGTGTATACAAAATGGAATTTGAAAATGCATTTATATCTTGCCTTGGTTTACATCATATGCAGAATGTCTCTACCACATTTACTGATAAACAGACTTCATCTCAAACAGTCCGATTGGACAGAGAGCTTCTATGAATTTACCCAGAGTTTGGTTCAGGTCTGCGCTGTAATAGGGCCGTTACAAAAATGAAGATGTTTCAGTCTAAATCTTTATTTTAAATCATATTTTTAAGGTCATTAAACCACTGGCCAGGGTAAAGCTCTTCCTTGTTAATATAAAGTACAGATAAGAGGAATGTGCAACTGTGAAAAGATTCTCCCACCTGAATTGGGAGTCTCTGCAGCTAGAAATATATTCAGGTTTTTATTATAATATCACAGATGCATTAAAACTTCTGTAAGCAGCTGTATTATTTTATTTAAGATTTCTAAGAATTCATAGTTAGAATCTTAAGCTGATGAAAACCTTCTATCCAACAGTCATTACAGAAAGCCTTAAGGCAAAGAACATGTTTATACGGTAAGCCCTAAATCCTACCTGGGTAAACACAAGGCCTGGCTGCCCCACAATCTGACAGGTCTGTAGGATGGACTGCAGGCCGTTTGCAGCTGCAGACAGCTGGTGTGCCGGGATGACAGTGATGGTTTGAGGCACTGTGTGCACGGTCCCGTTATACTGTTTCCTCCTGGCCTCCTCTACTTCCTCTGGAGTCCAGCTGACTCCGTGCTTTAGACGCTGGGCTGAGAACCACACCTGTGCACACAGCGATAGTCTTTAGTTCAAATAAAAACACCAAACAAAACAAACGAAACCCTGATTAGTCTAAAAAGAAGAATCTATAAACTTTTACCTTGATCTGCTCATCTGTAAACTGTGTCTGTGCTGCCAGGCTGTTGATTTCTGCCAAAGAAGGGTAAGGAAACTTCCTGTATGTGCTGATCAGAAGGGGGTTGGAGTCCATAGCTGCACTGTAGGAGGGGATGCTGCTCAGAGGGATCAGCAGCTGGGGCTGTGAGGCTGCTGCCGCTGCAGTCTGCTGCGCCTGGAAGGCTGAAAGCACCTGACATGACATTGGAGAAAATAAAAAACATTAAACACGGCAGATGAAGTTTACTAGGAGAGTGAAAAATAATGAAATAAATGTACTGTTCCTAAAGCAGCTTTTTTCCCCCTCAAAACTGTGATTAAGTTTAGGAACCGAATATATACTAATCCCCCTTTTACTGTAACCCTACTAAAGGGATGGGCCAGGCTGTAGGCAAGCAGTAACTCTGGAGGGTCTGCAGAAATCTGCAGCTCATGTGGGAAATCTGTTTATGAGATTTTCCTTTATTTTAGTTGGTTATAAAATCCAGGTTTCTAGTTTTCCAAAGCAAACATGTAGAGGAATTGGCAGATGACATTTGGCTTTGACTTTTGGCCTTACATGAAATTCAGATGTGGATGAAAACGAGCACTGAGCAAGACCTGACGATCCTCACAGTGACACCTGGTGGCCGCAGACACGCTGCTCAAAGATGTATGAAGACAAATGAAAGACAATTCTGGAAGAAAATATGTTAGAGGCTGCAGAAAGCTGGATACAGCAGGTATCTGGACATACAGATAGAGCGACTGTGGGATGGTTTGGATCAAAAAACATGGTTCAGGTGCCGACAGAAATTAATTCAAGTCCTTGGTAATGTTTGAAAATGTGCTCAGCCCAATTTTTAACCAAATTTGACCAGCAGGTATCATTTCTGCTCCATCTGTGGCTTGAAATCACACAAATAACATGAACATGTGTAGTTGTAATGTAAAAAGGTAACAAAACATTCAAGTTGAGAGTCATTTTGTTCGAAGCTCACTAATAAAACAATAAAAACAAAGAGTCAATATATAAGGGTCTGTACCTGTGCCAGACCAGCAGGCAGGACTGTGGGGTTTAAAATGGCAGGTTTTCTCTGCTGCTCTGATGGCGCACTGACCATCAAACCGCCTGTCCCAGTCTTCATGGAGTCCTGCAGCAGCATCTCCACAGACATCATCGGCCCGAGTGGAGCTTCGATGGGCTCCTGCTCTGCACCCACCTGACCATCCCCTCCTCCTGCTCCCAAACTCTCTCCCTCAGCTTCATCTGCAGATTTAAGGGAAACGGCGATCCTCTTGGGTTCAGATTTGGTCTTCATTCTCATGATTGGAGTCTTGCTGAGGGAGATTGCCGTAGCTGCGGCCGAGTCTGCTCCTCCCACCCCAGGGGAGTCATTCTTGGGTTCCTGGATTATCTGATCGCCACTGAGATCCTCTGGTGGGGATCTGAGCGTGGGAGCAATGATTTTGAGCTCTTCAATGCCAGAGACACCGGCTTCATCTGTAGAGGACATAATAACGTTCTTCACTTATTTTCTAGGAGCAATAAACCATTTTAGGTCTGAGTGTACTGCTTGGTTCCAAAGTTCCTCCATTTCTCACTCCTTACCTTCATCTGGTGGAGCAGCAGCAGCTACCACAGCCTGACCAAGCTCCTCGGCCCCCTCCTTCCCCTTCTTTTCCTGCTCCTCATCCCCTGCCTCTTCCTCCTTTCTTCTCTCCCTCTTCTCCTCCACGGCATCCTGCTCCACCACATCCATGGGAAGCACCATGCAGGGTGTGGTGGATTTCCGACGGCTTGACATCTTGAATTCGAAGAGACTCGTACTAGTGCTGTGGGGGAGCTGTCGAGGTTCACATGTTGCAGGTCAGTGAGCTGATCTGCTGGATTCCTGGAATCCTGTTTCTCTGAATGAAAACAAAAACAAAGAGAGCATCTTGAGGTCATAACCACGGGTCTGTTTACTGGGACTCAGTTATTATATTCAGAACTCTTTACTTTGATACAACATTTGGGAAACAGTGTGCAGGAGTGTAAGTTAATATGATGCTTGGTATATATAT